TGAGCTTTGAGAATATGATTACGTGACTGCTCTTAAGCACAGCATTACTGGGCTTACATGCATATTTACCAGTATATTTCTTTATCTGACGTTTCTGTGAGCATAATTTTTTAACTCGTCTCCTGTTACATTTTTTATCTTAGGCTCTATATTATCCTCGTCTGAAACCATAAAAATATCCCTTCAAATCTATTTAAATTCTATGCCCACATAAATAATATTTAAGAATTCAGCCCGTACCGCAAAGGAAATCCAACGTCTCCTTTACAAATATCGTCCTGTTTATGCTGTTTAGGGAAATAATTACTATTTGCATTGAGTATCATACGAAACATATTCGTACAAAATGTAGAATTATTGATTGTTAAAACATGTGACACACACGTAAAGTTGAGACTGGACTTTAAAACGATATCAGTGGAAGTTATTTTAAATATAAATAGAATTTTTGTCTTCAGAAATGTATTTTCTTGCGGAATGCGTTGTGAGAACTATAACAAATTTCTGATTGTTTCGAGAATCATCATCGCACTTCTCTTCTGGGGTGACAGAAAAGAAAATCTTCGAAGCTGGTCACTGAAGGACGATTTGTTTTTCTTTCGCAGAAAAAAATCATTTTCGCCTAAATTTAGTCGGCCCGAAGTTTTTTGTCAGTGATGTTGTTGTGTTGTTCTTGACTGAAATTTGCTGTCACGTAATTCCATTTCTTCGCGTTCTTGAAAACTTTTGAATGCAAGTTAATAGATGCTGATATTCTTAAGTAACTGATATTAAATTTGCTTATATTGTGTTGGAAAATTTACGTTCCGAGATGATTATTTAAAAGAAAGAACGATACATAGAACATGGCTCTGATTTATTTTAGTGTTTCTTATTTTAACATAAATTTCAGATTCTGAAGAAAATTAATATTGTGTGTAATCTCACTATAAATTCATATGTAGCCTGTATATGTAATTTCTCTCGATACGATGATTATTTTCCATTGTAATTACGTGTCTTTGATGGATTTTACTCTGAATAGTACCAGCTCCTTGTTACGGGACATTGCGTCTCTCAAAATATTTTAGTGTTAAAATACGCTATAGTACTGTACAAGTTAAAATATCAGATGTAATTCAAATGCTCAGTGTTCTTTTGAATTTTTGAATAGAATTGACAGAAACGGTTATTATTAAATAATTCGTAAGAAGCGGCTGTTATTAAGCTATTCACAGGCTAGGAGAAGTGCTGTATATAAAAGGTCTCTGATCCACGATAAGAATGGCTTACATCATTACAGATTACGTTTGACTTAAGTCCTATAAAA